GTGTAAATGCAGCCAAAATGATTTCGTTTTCTGTGTGGAGTTTGGGACCACCAGGCATGACCTGCTTCCGGGCACAGGGAGGTTTTGGGAGTCGGAGAGCTCACGAATGTCTTTCCTACAAGCTCAGAGCTGTGGTTCTCTCTGCTGAGACCCCGACACTGGCCTCGAGGCGGTTGCTGTGTCTGGATGGGGCTCTGCATCTCAGCCTTCGGAGCATCCGTCCTCCAGATGTGGGGGAGATAGCGGTCTGGCACGAGGCACAGCTCCAGAGCCTCAAGTACTGCTGCCATCTCCGCATGGAACACGCTCTGTTTGCTTGTGGTGAGGTTTAGTTACGAGCTCCGTTCTCCAGCGAAATGAGGTGGTGCTTCGTGTCGTGAGATAACTGTCTGAGGTAGGAGGATGATGGATGTGCTTCAAGCAGCCTGGATTTTCACTTTCTGCCTGACACTGGACATGAAAACATCTTCATTTTTCCCAAAACGCCCTTGTTGGCTTTTGCTGTCTGCCCGGGTCGCCTTTCTGGAGCATCTTATGGTCATAGTTGAACTTTGCTCTTGGGTGGTCTGGATGTGAACTGTATGGCCTGAGAGCGTTGCCAGATGGATATGGATGTCATCGTCACTACATTTTTCCTAACGGATCCTTTTGCTTCCTTATAGGATTGCATTGCACCTCTGCAACAGTTCTGTGATGGGTTTACTTGGTTAGCACCCATCGAAGCTTTCCAGAGAAAGGACCCTTCGTGGGTGGTTTTCCATAAAGCCACATTGTTCTCCTAGAATGACGTGGGCTTAATGCAACCTAAAATTTTTTTTCGCAGCCTAAGTAGAGACAGAGGTTTTTTATAGCTGTGGTAACCCGTTTAATCTTGCTTCTTACACAGAATAATGCTAATAAAAGAAAGATCAGCCTTTCTTAGTCCCAGCCATGCTTTCAAATGACAGACCTTGGAAATTTATTCAAATATAAATGGCAACATATGGGTTTATGTGGTGGGATTTGATTTCAGCGTTCGTCTTGGACTTTGGCCAATCTTCAGGCTGTAGGCTTCATCTGCAGCTTCCTTCTCTTTAATCTTCCAGGATAAATGATAACCATTTCGTGAAAGTCAGCTCGCTGTCTCTCGACACGCACACGTTCCCGGCGCTGACTCATCTGATGATGGTGTGAAATATCTGCGAGCAGCCACCGAAAGCCGCAGGTTGTTGTTGCTTTTCCCCTTGCTATCAGCTGCTGTATCCCAGCCAGCCAGGGCCGCTCGCATCCTGGGATCAGCAGCTCCCTGCCGGGGCTGTGTCGCTTGGGGTTGCTCTGGAATTTCATTAGTCAGCTGTAAACGGCTCGTAGTTGTTTCTATCAGCTTTTCGTATTCCTACGGAACGGTTTCCGTGAGGTTTCCCAGAAAGCAGTCCTCCTGGCTTTTATTGTTGAGCGATCCTATGCACCATTGGTGTGATTTTGGTGATTTTTGTGTGATTTTGGTTAAATCGACTAAGTGGGTACAAGAGAGACATGATTGTTTAGAGTTCCAAGTTGAGATGAAACTACTGTTTTCTTCTGCTATGTGGACTCTTCACTGTTTTGTGGGGAGGGGAGAGTACTGGCAGAGTTTGCAGTTGGTCGAATAGAAATGTCATCTCCCTTGCTATAGTAGGATGAAGATGGTTTGGGATAATAACGTAGGGACGAGTGTTTCTAAGGAGCCTGTGGTGCACGTCAAGGAGAGGGTTCCTCGGGTTGGCTTTGAGCAGGAGTTGGATCAGGCCCAGCGTACGCTTCCAAAATCAAATTACATCGGCGGGCAGCTGCTGCCTTTGATCCTTACAGTGCCAGTAGGTTCCTGAAACTCAGCCAGATTCTGGTTTCCTCTTTGGAGAAGAGGCAGACCTTTTCACAGCGTTTCATCTGGTTCCCTCCTGAAGAGCGTGTGGCTCCTGCACGGAAGCGTACGTGTCCCGGGAGGGCTGTATGCCACAGCAGAGCTGTGTGCCCACAGGCTGCACCCTGCCAGGACTGCTTTTGGTGGGCCCTTGATAAGAGGGTGCCCGGTAAGGCATTCGTGGTGAGTGCCCGCAGTAGTCACATTGTTCAAGGAACTTGAGCGTCTTCGTGACAGAATGGTTTCTGGTCCTGCACGCGGAGAGCCGGGGAGCCGGTGGGATGCCAGCAGGTGCTCATGTGGAGATGCTCTGGTCCCCACCCACCTCTCCCGTGCTTGTGAAACCAGGATAGTCATGCCAAAATGCTCACAACGATCTCCCTATTTTCCCAAGGGCGCTCCTGGCCGTTTTGGATTTGAGTTTGGCCATTTGGTGGCTTTGCAGAGCCGAAGGCTCTTTCCCAGTGACGCCAGCTCTTGAGCCCCCCACTGCAAAGCGAGCACGCTGGGAGGCTGGGGCAGGGGCTTACTCAGTTGCCCTCAGTTTTCCTTGGAGCTGCTCTAACCATCAGCAATGCGTATGCGGCGTTTGGGCTTTGATCTCCCAGCAAGGTGCTTCCTGACGCTGTAGGGAGGCTTGATGAGGATCACTCCTGAAGAAAAGCCCAAGATTAGACTGAAGATTTTCAGCGAGAAGCTGGATGGCAATGGCTTTTCAGACTCACCCGTCCTTTCCGTGTCCCAGGGACTCCGTTTCTGCTAAGCAGAGGGACAGATCGCGCTTTGCCTCTTGCACAGCTGCAGGCCAGACCACACCAGGGACACTTGCTCCATCCAAGACTGAGTTTGTCTCGACTCTGTTTCACTCTATTTTACACTTTAATGTGTGTTTTATGGGCTTAGCAGAGCAGCCCATGTAGAAGTGTTTAATGCCCAGAGAAGTTGTGGCTGCCCCATCCCTGGAAGTGTTCAAGGTCAGGCTGGATGGGGCTTTGAGCAACCTGGTGTAGTCCCTGTCCATGGCAGGGGAATGGAACGAGATGGTCTTGAAGGTCCCTCCCAACCCAAACCATTCTGTGATTCAAAACTGCTTTCATGGCATAGGCTATAGAGAGAGGCGAGACCTTTGGGTTTAACATCATGATAATTTGCTTGGCCAACAAGTGTAATCTGTTTTTCACGAGGGTGCTGCTTTGTTGTTTAAGTGTGTCTGTTCTACCATGTGAGTCTTTAAAGTTCAGCTGGAAACATTTAAGTGCAGCTTTAGCGCGCGCTTGCGGGCGATCTCAGCACCCTGCCTAGCAGAGGTGTGCGGGTGGAGCCCGTTAGTTGCAACTTGTGGGATTGTGGCCAGGGATGTTGATGGTAATCATAGAATCACAGAACGGTTTGGATTGGAAGGGACCTCAAAGACCATCCAGTTCCAACCCCCCTGCCATGGGCAGGGACACCCTCCACTACACCAGGTTGCCCAAAGCCCCATCCAACCTGGCCTTGAACACTTCCAGGGATGGGGCAGCCACAGCTTCTCTGGGCAACCTGTGCCAGTGCCTCACCACCCTCAGAGTGAAAAATTTCTTAATGAATTTAATGATGTTATCAAATAGTTCATCATAACCAGTGTCCCTGTCCTCTCACAGAGCTCCAGTGGCAGGATTCCCATTGACGTCAGGTACTGACCACAAATACCTGAATAATAACCCAGTTGTGGCAATTTTGCTTCAGAATGACAGAAGATGTATCACGTACGCCACAAGCATGGTCATAATCATTTATTTGATCATAACAGAGAGCAGAAGGTGTGGCGAGGGGTCACCCAGCAGACCACTACTCGCAGTGCTTCGCAGATCTCGTGATCAGCTCAGTTTAGGTCCCACTAAACTCCCTGGAGAAACTTCTTCTGACTCGAGTGAGATCTGCTCGGTGCCTTAATCTCTGTGTAGGTACATGCTGTAAGATAGATGCAGTTACAAAGAGGAAACTGGTGCAGGAATAGTAGTAACAGTGCATGCTTTGTAAAGAATTTGTTTTTTGGAATATCTAGAAACCCAGATCGGGGCTTTGGTCTCCTTGTGGGAGACACAAACGTAGAAATAGGCACAAAGAACCGATCTCTGCCCCGGAGAGGTTAGTTTCTAAAAAGAAGTAGTCAGTGCTTCCACCCACCCTGAATTACCGTTCGTTGGCTGATCTCACGTAACTACTGTGCCACGAGCTGGCTCTGAAGGAAACAGCAGCTGATGCGTGAGGCTGGTGGACCCTGAGCATATGGCCTGGGTTGGAGGTCCCATTGCCGTGTCCGCTCCTGATCAGTAGCACCCAGTGCTCCTGGGACATTTGAGTGAAACCTGGTGAAGGAAGGAAGGAAGGAAGGAACCTTTTGGGCTCACTGAGGGTTTTGTTCCTCAGCAGAAGGGAAGTTTCAACCCTCCAGATGACCAGGCTCTGCTTTGCAGGACCTTGAAGAGCAAAACCGCTTCTTTCAGAGCTGCTCCTGTCTCTCTGCAAACAACCAGTGTCTGAGGATCATTTGTGTGATGGGAAAAGTAGGACTGAGCCAGAGCAGCTACTGGGAAGTAATAAGATTTAAACAATATCCTGAGACCTGCTTTATCTTAAGTCTTATTTCTCCCTCAAGTTGCTTGTGTTTCCTGCCAACACCCCTGTGTTAGGGCTCTGTGATTCTGACCAGCTGGTAGTTACGCTGATGTACTTCGCTCCTTGTTTAGCCAGTGATAATTCTCTTTTTTGCTTCCCTGTAATTCGGTCTTCTTCCTAATTACATTATACCACAGCGGAAAGCCAGTTCTGCGCTGTGAAAGAGGCCGAGTCTTCCCGTGGCACAGCCTGGGGCAACTCTGGGATTTCGTCCATCAGTGGGTATGAGTAAATTTTTAAGGAAAAAAGGGAGAGAGTTACGTTATAATTGTACCGACCCCTCAGACAGTTGTTCACCCGTGATTCCTCCGCTGGATTTGCCGTGAAGAGGAAGGTTTTTAACAAGAGAGGAAGGCCGGTCGGAGGGGTTTTGAGCAAGCGGATGAGCTGCTTTTTCAGTGTTTCCCATACTCTCTCTCGCAAGCTGTGCTTTAACAAACACGCGGCCGTTCTTTTGCAGGTGTGTGGAGAGAAACAGCGCTTTGAGAAGCTGATGGAGCATTTCCGAAACGAAGACAACAATATAGACTTCATGGTGAGTGCCATTTATCATCAGCAGACTCTGGTTTCAGTGTTGACAGTGTCTGGTCCTGATTTGCCGTCCGATCCTTGGCCTGAAATTGCCACAATGTGTTTTTTTATGTCCAAACTACATCATGTGTGTTTCACTTTTAGCTTCAATTCAGTTCTCTCCAAGAAATGCCTTGTTCCATCGTGAAGGTAAGAGGAAAGTGGCCCTCTGGTCGCACGCACCGTTTCGCTGCGGCGGAGCAGCAGCTTCCGCAGGATCAAGGCGCGCGTTCTGTCCGTGTGCCGACGTCCCCGGAGTCACAGACAGGGAAGTGCGGGAGAGACACGCTGCAGCTGCTGTCTGTCCTTCTCTGCTGATAAATATAGCAGTAGTTTGCACTGCTTTTGGTTCCTCAATGTGCATATGCATGATTGTTCACCAAAACCACTTCCCCTGGAGCACAAGAGCGGCGGGCGAGAGGGGAAGCTCTGGCTGGCACCCATCAGCACCAGCGCCAGCTTCCACGTTGGCAGCACGGGAAAGGCAGAGGCCGTGGCAGTGAGGGTGGCTGGTTATGTGTCCCATATCACAAGTCCTTCTGCGTCCAGTTCTTCAAAGTCTATGGGAACTGAGTGCTCATGTGAAGTCCAAAAGGGATGCGGTACTGGCATGGGCAGTGCCCGGTGCCTCTTGGATTGGAGGTGATCCCATTTTGAGGTGAGAGCAGAGCAGGAGGGCTTCCCACCTGGTCACACTGACCATTCTGCTGAGACCTCTGTTAAGCACCTGTGACACTTTATACTGCTTCAGTGCTGAGCTTCGTGTTAGAGATCTCTTTCTGCCAGGAACTAGGTGTTCCAGCCCCCAGTGCGGTGCTGAACACTGGTGTCAGTGACGTGCAGCTCTGCCAGCCACACCAGGCTCCCACCAAGGAGCGGGCAGCGGAATGGAGAGGAGGTGGCATGAGCAAGAGAGGATGGCCTCTTTCTTGTATTTAAAAAAAAAAACCCAACACTTTACAGTGATTCCTGCAAATTTACTCAAGTTAACAAGCTGCTTTTAGTAACTGTCTGACATTTTCCAGTTGGTTTTGTTCCTTATTCCCGCAGTCCCAGCAAGGACATGTTGGGAGTTGCAGTATACATTAAGTGTCCTCGGAGGTACGTAGAGTTTAGTCTGTAATTTAACAAGAAGATTCATCAGCCCTCGACACCCAACTCATTTTTCCTGTACTCACAAGGAAGAGGAATGGCATTTGGGGAGCGGGAGGGCAGCACAGCTCGGTGCAGCCTGGAATGGAGATGGTGGCAGCAGCCTGCAGTTTGTCCATGCTTTTTAAAAAAAATCATCCCTCATCTTTATTGAAGATATGAAAGGGTGTAATATAAGGGTGTAATAGGGAGAGTGCACGTGAGTGTGTGTCCGTACGAGCCCGGTGAGCCGTGAATATTCAGCATCCATCTGGACGGCCTGTAAGAAAATTCCCTGATCCTCTCAGGCTGTAGGTTGAAGGCAGTGGTGAAATTTGTTTGAAAAGGGATAAATACGGCTCCCCGCCCTACCAGCATGTTGCACCAGGCTGTGCCTGGGGCAGACGTCGCTCCTTTCCGCAGGGCAGGATGAAATGGGTGCCGGAGCCCGGGCCCCGGGATGTAACGTTACAGCTCGAGTAATTGAAGGAGTTGCAACAACTGAACGTAAACCAAGAGCTGATGGTGCAGGGCCTGGCTTTCACGCCGCCCTACGTGGAGAAGGAGAGAGCTGTCTGGGAAGCCGGAGCTGGAAGGGGCTGCGGTTAATTGCAAGGATCCGACAGGGAGGAAAGAGCAGCAAAAAGGCAAAAGTATTTTAGAGAATGTTCCTGTTGTTGACATTGACTTGCTTCATTTCAAAGGCAGCTTTCTCAAATTAGTTTTCTTGACATCAGAAGTTCCTTTGTCGTGTATGTAAGGGCCTGAGAAAGGAAATGAGAGTTTGGCCCTAACATTGCGAGAGCCAAAGCAAGTCCAGCAAAAGTGCTTTTGAAATAGGGGAGTTTGGCTCTGGGTGATGGGACAGGACAGCTGTCAGCTGGCCAAGGCCAGAACCAGCACTAGGAGGAACCAGGGGTCCCTGCAGGAACTGGAAAGGGTCCTACAAAGACTCAAAACCTGAAGTTATGTTTCCAGCTGATGGAGCAGGTTGTTCATGTAGGAGACGGATGCACACTGGGAGGTGGGGATGAGGCATCACAGGAACTCCTGGATGAGTCTTTGGAGTCATAGAATCATAGAATGGTTTGGGTTGGAAGGGACCTCAAAGATCATCCAGTTCCAACCCCCCTGCCATAGGGGGTTTTAGACCATCCTCCTTCCTCTCTTCCTTGGGACTATCCCTGTGACCAGTCTCACAACTTTGCATTATGTAGGATTAAAGTCATTTTGGAGACAGAGTGGTTAATGCTGGTCAGGATCTGCATGGGAAGATGTAGCTGAAAAGTTTTGACTGACCTTTGTTTAACCATTGTGGCTTGTTGTGTGTCCCTGTGATCCCGGCTCCAAAGCTGGGCAGTACTGGGCAGTTCAGCCAAGAAAGTTTTTATGGGAGCTGAGCAGCTGCTGGGAGGAGCAGCCCAGGGCATCCCAGCCAGGCCTGTAGTCAAAGGCCACCACGCAGCAGATGGCTGCCCACAAGTTTATCCTCTGGGCCCTATAGCAGATCACAGAGAATTGGCCAATTTCCTGTAGCAAACTGGAAATCCAGAGAGTGCCCTTCAGTTCTTTCTTCCCACACATGACCCAGAGACGTGAGGGTCTCCTGGACACTTGTCTGCCGGTAAAATCAGGTTGCTTTGGTTTTATCTTCTCTCAGATTCGTTCTAGAACTACTGAGATGCTTCCCAGACGTGTTGAGCAGTTTGGTATTACCCCTGCTGTGGTGTTGCCGGAAGGACAGGGTTATGCCCTTGAAAAAACCCAGCAAGGACTTGGCCAACTGCCCCTGGAAGCAGCCCAGAGGGCAGCAGACGTGGGCATCTGTGAGCTGAAAGGTGGTTGTTGATGCTTGTGCAGAGCAGGACTTGGCCGTGCCTCACATCCCAGTAACGGGCAAACCTTTTGGGGTTTGCAGCCCCACTCCTCCCTCTCTGCAGGAGGTGCCCCCAGCTTCCTGCTCATGACCTGCTTCCCTTGAGAGACTTCTCCTTTCCTTTGCTCTACTTGGATGCGTTTGGTGCCAGCTCCTATGATCCAGCCCCTCGTTCAGTGACCAAACCACAGCTTTGGAAACACGCGTTCTGCAAACAACAGAGCGCCTCTTGTGAAAGTCCCGTTTCCGAAGCGAGGCGTCCCAGTTGCAAAATGAATCTCGCTTTTACAGGCCGTTTCAGAAACAGCATTGTTTTCTGAGCAGCTCGTGCGGTGTCTGGCCGCGGTGAAGGTGGGCTCTGCAGGCATGACTTCATTCCTGGAGCCCATGTTTGCCTTTATTGCAGCCAACAAACGCCCCGTAAGCCCGAATCCAGCACCGGCTTGGAAAAAAGCCACAGAATGGTGGATCACAGTTTCCCCTCGTAGCAACCACAGGGAAACGTGGTTGTTTGCTGTGTCCGACCGTGGAGCCCCAGGAGAGCCCGCTCCGACCCCGCACCCTCCGGGGGCAGCCGGGGCTGCGCCGCCGCCTCCCCTGATGCGTGGTGGTTCTCCTTGCAGGTGGCCTGCATGCAGTTCATCAACATCGTGGTCCACTCGGTGGAGGACATGAACTTCCGAGTCCACCTGCAGTACGAGTTCACGAAGCTGGGCCTGGATGAGTACCTGGACGTGAGTACCGCCGGCGTGCCGCTGCCTGGCGGCGTGGGTCTGCTCTCCCG